GGAGTTGACGGTAAGATGGACAGAGGGGCCGAGAGTGACTTCAGGGATCTGGTGAGTGGGGGGGTGTCTGAGAAGTTGTGGTCACATGACATGACCCGCTGTGTCCAAAATTTTCAGTATGATTTGTCCAATATATCTGTAATATTTATTTGTGTATTTTTTAACTTTGGTTCCTGTAAGAGGCGATTAGGCAACACAATTTTGCTTGGATGCAGATAAAATTTGAAAACAGAAAATCAATCATCTTGGGTGAAACTCAAAAATTATGTTTGCACCTAGTCAAATGATACATCAAAATAATCATAAATGAATATAGAACAGGAAAATATTGAACAATTTGCAGTTATTTACATTCCACAAAATTTGTACATTTGGATCATAGCATTCAATATTGAAAAAAAATATTTTAAAAACTAAATCTGGAAAAAAAGGACAACAGATGCTTGTACAAACAGAACAAAACAGACGTATCTTATGGAATTATTCAGAGTTGGAAAAAAACTACACATGTCTTGAGTGGTATTTTTTGTGTAATTTTACTTTTATAAATTATGATTTTGGGAAGAAAGGAATATTTTGACAGTTTAGATTTAGCACTGAAAAATATTGACTTCTCAATAACAGAGCAATGGCAATTGGAGTCCATTTGACAAATGTAGATCTAGTCTCAATATTCTAAAAAAGAGTCCTACATTTCTTTAGTAAACAAAATAGTTATACACTTTGTTACGTAAAAGCACTAAGATACTGGTATCTGGCCGATAATTTGGGCATCGCGATAAAACAAAGTCGCATACACTTCGAAATCGTGTTTCAAAACTGAATCAAAACTTAGCGTTGCCGGTGAAAACGCTTGACCCGGAAGTCAAAGTTGTATTATGACCTTTATTTTAACATGATGTGGGTTGGAATAAAATCAAACTAAAATTCTAGGTGGGTTCTCAAGCTGTCGGGGGCGGCTTGTCGTAGTGAGGTCACTTTAGCCGCACCGATGCCCACGGCTTGGCATAGCGAAGGAGGTAATAATTCATCTATGTATTGTGGCATATTGTTGAGTTAAAATACATGAATGATTAATGTTTCAGATGATGAAGAATTTATTTAGTGGATGAGTTAATCTATGTATTGAGGCGTATTCTTGTGGGATATTTTGCTGGAATTCAAATTTTAAATTTTGAAAAGCGTAAAAAAAAGACATATAATTTAAGTGAAATTTTCAAAAAGAATGAAACAGTTGGGTTCCTTTTTTTCACCTGAGCTTAGAATAGTTAAACGACTTTCTGACGAATCAGTTTGGCTTTAATGTCTCCCCCCTCCCCACCCACTCCCACCCCCACCAGGACGGCAAAGATGCAATTGCGCTGGCAGAAGACAGAGGCTACGATGATGTCATAGCAATTCTCAGAGCGGTATGTCTATGTAGGGGATCCTTTCAAATACTTGGGGGGCTTTTTTGTATGTTAATGTTGGGGGCTTTTTTGTATGTTAATGTTGGGGGCTTTTTTGTATGTTAATGTTGGGGGCTTTTTTGTATGTTAA